TACACTCCTGCTGCTGGTGCACGACAACATGCGCGTGCACAACGACCCTCTGGTGCGTCACGTGATTCAGATCTTCACTTAAAAAATTATCTGAAGCTTCCGCTGGTTTTCTTTTGGCATTAATGCAATAAAATAAACACTAAAGGTATCTTGTGTTTTATTTGAGGCTTAACTGGAGCGTTCTGGAGGAGCTGCTTCCGGTCCCTGATGTTTGATGTTTGGAGCAAATCATCCAGTTTAAATCTGCAGATAGACTCTGAAGGAAGGGGCTAAAAGGTTTCTCAGAGGAGAGGATGGAAAATCTCCTCATTAACAGATAAACTGTTACTGATGTGGGCCCCATCACACCTTATTTACCTGTTATGATGTTTTTCTCAGCAAGCATCAGTGGAAGATTTACAGGATTTCAGCTGAAACTACAGAAATGAGAGGAAGCATGGAGGGTCAGGGAGCTTTGTCTTAGTTTACTCCTCTGCTGGGAGCAGATTTAGTCCTTAAGCAGCCGCAGTTTCACTCAGACTCTTACCACTGATGCATGGGAGACCTCTGCAGAAGCTGTTTGTCATTTAATGAGCTAATCGGCTTAATTGGAACGTGGATAATTACACATTAAGACAATTAAAGGAACTCTAGATTAACATTTACGTTTTAATCTGTGAGCAGAGAAGTAAAGGTTTGACACAGAAAAGGTTTCTCCAGGTGGGAACGATCTCAGCCCTGAATCCTTTAGGATGTAAAACAGCTGGAGGATGATAAAACTAGCAAATCCACCTGAGAGGTTTGCATCAAAACAGCCGTTAGGGATCATCCTGTTGGAGCTAAAATTATGTTTTCTGTTCTGTTCAGAATTTGTTATTTATAATAATTTTACTAAATCAATTAAAAGGCAGAATACCTTTTTTCCTGCTGCTGAGAAACAACCAGCACAAACTCAGTGGAATAACAAGAGAACATCAGTACCTCAATAACGGTCCGAATAAATCCTTCAACCATGAAATCAGAGAAAACTCAGATAGATGGAACTCAAACCCAACACAAATTTCTCTCTCCATGTTTTAGCGATATTCATCTAAAAGCAGATTTCTCAAGGTTCTGAGTTTAGAAACCAAACCGAAGCCGATGGTCAAAGACCTGAAACCCCAAATGGGTCCACCATCCGAGCTCAGCTGGTTTCAGACAGTTTTAGCTCATTTCACTCATTTAGTTAATTATTATTAAAAACATCCATCGAGTTAATATCACATGGTCTTTAGCCGGAAGAGGGTACGCCTTCTCCGGGTCAGGGATGAGGTCCTGCCCCAAGTGGAGGAGTTTAAGTATCTCGGGGTCTTGTTCACGAGTGAGGGAAAACTGGAGCGTGAGATCGATAGGCGGATTGGTGCTGCATCTGTACCGGTCTGTCGTGGTGAAGAGAGAGCTGAGCCAGAAGGCGAAGCTCTCGATTTACCGGTCGATCTACTTTCCTACCCTCACCTATGGTCATGAGCTTTGGGTAGTGAATGAAAGAACGAGATCGCAAATACAAGCGGCCGAAATGAGCTTTCTCCGAAGAGTGGCTGGGCTCTCCCTTAGAGATAGGGTGAGAAGCTCGGTCATCCGGGAGGGGCTCGGAGTAGACCCGCTGCTCCTCCACATCGAGAGGAGCCAGTTGAGGTGGCTCGGGCATCTGGTTAGGATGCCTCCTGGACGCCTCCCTGGTGAGGTTTTCCAGAAACATCCAACCGGGAGGAGATCTAAAGGTAGACCCAGGACACGGTGGAGGGACTATGTCTCTCACCTGGCCAGGGAACGCCTTGGGATTCCCCCGGAGGAGCTGGCCCAAGTGGCTGGGGAGAGGGAAGTCTGGGCCTCTTGACTTAGGCTATTGCCCCTGCGACCTGACTTCGGATAAGTGGAAGAGAATGGATGGATGGAGTTAATATCATCATCATCATCATCATCATCATCATCATCATCATCATCATCATCATCATCATCATCATCATCAAGTTTATTTCCAAAGCACTTATAAAACAGCATGGCAGCTGACCTAAGTGCTGCACAAAGAGCACATAAATGACAGAGCAGAGATAAAAGTCAAAGAACAAAAGGCAACAAAACACTTTCAACAGTTTCACTTTTCTACTAAGTGAGTAAAGATAATTTAGCTTGTGACCTTGACTAAGGTTGTTAGGAAACACATCGATAAGCAATTTAAACCCAACGATTTTAGTAAAGAACAAGAGGAGGAGATGGAAACTTTCACCAGGAGGAATCCTGATCAGAACCACCTCAGCTGCCTCCATCTGATGAGGAGCTCCTCGTTCTCTCTCTTAAGCTGGGCGTCCACTGTGCGACTTCTTCACTTTTTTGCGATTTTCCACTTGTGCGAGAATCCACAAGATCGGGGTGAGTTTTGCACTGAGCGACGTGTAGTGGGGGGGGGGGGGGGGGGGGGGGGGGTTTATGAGAAGCGATTAACACCACGTGACCAGCTACCGATCAGCAATCGTGAGCTCGCACAGACTTCTGGCGTGTTTGAAATTTGGCTCGTCCCTCATGAGGGTTGAAGCGGCGCTGCGAGCAGCTGCGACCCAAAAAGTACCAGAACCGCTCACGGCGCATGCGCAATCATACGTCATCACCGCTCGTCAGCTATTTCCCAACCAACACATGTCGTTCATTTTTATTTCTACACGTTTTTTTACACATACAATGACAAGGATTTTCAAGAAAGCGTGTTTGTCGTGTTCATGTGAAATTAAACTGATCACTGTAGCATCACGGAAGGTCCTCTAATTTGTGGCAAAGGTCACATTTACCCAGCTGGGTCAAACAGTACTTTTAAATCCACAGATTAACCAAGGAGCCATGATGTCTGGAAGAACATTTCACCATATCTGCTGCTGTTCTGTCCCAGAAGAAGGACACTTCAAGTTCACGATAATAATTAAATAATAATATTAATAAACTCTTTGATTTTATTACTGTTTATTATAATCATCATAAATGATCACTTGGTTCAGTATAAAGGTATTTTAATTACATGAAATTACATGAAATGAATTATTATGCTTTGGGTATAATAATGATTAATTATGATTATGATTATGGTTGATGACAGTAATGTGTTCAGCAAAGAAGGTCAGTTCCACCTTATCCATCTAACACAGAGTTCACACAGAGTAAACAATAACTGCCAACACATGTTTTTGACGCATGACCAAAGCTTTCTTGCTGAGAGAGTGGGTGTGTTCTGAGAGCTTTGTAAACTAACCATCACCAGCTTTCACGTTCAGTCCTTGAACCAACACCATCCTGAGGAGACGGGAATGGCTGCCCTGACCCTCTGCCAAGCTGTTCTGTCACGCCGACAAGAATAGCTAAGAGTAAACGTAAACTGTAACCAGCTGACGAAAAACTTCTTCCAGAAGTTATTGATTTCTGAGTTAAGACGAGAAACTTCTAAACAGTTAAGCCAAACGCTCGACACTGTGTACCCGGGACATCTCTGGACCAGAGAATCGGTTCACTTGCGTCTTCTCTGCCGGACCGAGTACCCTGGATGGACACCATCCTCCTGATCTCCGGATCCACAAAGAGGGTCTCCTGTTTGGGTGAGGTAGCACACAGGAATGTGTTTGATGCTGTTTTCTCTAAGTAAACAACTCAGTTAGCCGCAAAACATCCTTTCCATCCAGAACGCTTTTCTCTCTCTCTGAAAGAAATCTTCTGAGAATTCCATTCACGCATCCAAACTCGTATTTCCATTTAACTTCCATCCAGCCACAGGTTTGCCTCTTAAACAAGTTTAATATCAAAGCTGTTAAAAATTGTCATTAAATTGTCATCCATGAATTGTCGTTTATAATTGTCGTTCAAATCTTTAAGTTTAAAATTGTTAGTAATAAAATTTCTTCATTTTAAACCTGCCTCATTATTGAACGAAACACAGAAAAAGATAATTATTTCTGGTTATTGAAAAGCAAAGATTCCTAGCTTCTGATTCAAAAATAAATTTTTGCTATAAATTTAATTATCTTAAATTAAACATTAATCTTTGGATTAAAAATAGACCAAGTGAATTGGTGTATGAGCTTCTATTGATTATATAAGTATCTTGGATATTTATACATGATATACCGGTAAGCTCGTATGCTAATATGCATGGTCATTCTCAGAATCTAACAACTGATAGCAAACAGTGTTGATTCCGGTATGTAGTTAATCTTACATCACAAAACACTGATTTACATTCTTTCTTTCGTTTTCCTCCTCTAACCCCACAAATCCCCGTGTGTCCTCCTACAGCACTCCCAAAGAACAACAGACATTAATAACAACACAAAAAAGTCCAACACGCTGTGTAAAAACTGCTATTTGTAGCATAATTTTAGGTCTGACGAGTTGCTACCAGCAGGGGCGTAGCACCAAATTCTGGGCCCTAGGTACAAGTCTTCTAGGTGGGCCCCCATGCTCAACTACTTAATATCTCTCTTACACATTTTTTGTCATGCTATAAGACAAGATAATAAATATGATCTTAGTTTAACCTCTATATTGAGCAAATACAAATGCCAGCATAATAAAAGTGAAATGCCCAGACTTCACATATAATTATTTTTATTTGCCAACAATGTGTTCAAACAAAAATCCTGGAATTTATTTTCCAGTAAATGCCCACTGATGGGTCTTAATGTTAGCAAAATCACTTATGAGATCTTTAAAGTCCAATCCTTTGGCTAATTGGCTTTCAATGGAAAGAAGAGCTAGGCTGTTCAGTCTATCCTGGGACATTGTTGATCTCAAATAATTTTTCACCAGTTTCAGTTTGCTAAAAGCCCGTTCACCCCCAGCAACAGTCACAGGTAGTGTGCAAAAAATCCTCAGTTTAATACAAACTTCTCCAAAAATGCTCTGTAATAGCATCCTGTATGGCATTAAGCAGCTCAAGAGGAGACCGAATGTGGCACCATATATTGTTCTCAGGTGTAGCATCTCATTCTCAAATTCAGCTGTGA